AATTTCCAAAATATAGGATTTCACTTTGAAGAAAGAGGATTTGAAAATAAATTAGATGGTTACACTACATACTCTTTGTTTCTTGTTTTGTTCAAAATGTTTTGGTTTTGGAAGCTCATTTCGACATTAGAAAACATAGCCTACATGAAGTCATATTATAGTAACTTAACTTGCCTGATTTCTTGTATTCTGCACATAATGCCCCAGTAGACCTCCCAACCATTAGGTATTTAGGTTTGTGGTTAATGTGTTTTTTGTAAATAAATACCTTCGAATAAACGCCGAGAAGGGTTTTCGAGGGATAAGGGTGTTTATTCGAGGAATGCTTTATTCCAAATGAGGCTTTAGATGGGTATTCATTCGAGGGAGGCTTTTATTCAAAGCAGGGCGTTTATTCGAATAAATATGGCATGAAGAATAGTTTATTTGGATATACACTTTTATATCAGCAGCACTCAGCTGCGTAGTTGCATCCAATTAGAAAAAGAAAATTAACAATTATGCAAATAAGTTAGTCTTTCACAGAAATATACGAATTAATATAAATTACAGTAAAAAAAAGAAAGTGATTAAAAATAAAGGAAACCAACATACAAGATAAAATTGTAAACTGTATTACGAAAACAGCGCCCACTGGAGGCCAGAAATTGCAAATTATATTTTATTTTAATATATTTTTAATAATTAGTGGATGGATTTGCACCATTAGGAGTGGGGAAACGGGGTGTCGCCAGGATTTTCCCGACGGGATGGGGGAGGCAAGGCAGATCCCTGACAGAGGGGCCGATGTCCCCAACAAAAGCAAAGTGGGCGTGGTCGGGTGCCGCTCAAAATGTTTCGAAAGTGGTCCAGGGGCAAACCTCCGAAAAATATGACAATTTAGGGGTTTAAAAGGCTTATTTAATCGCACGTCCCTCCAAAAATTACTCGTGCTCCCTCAGGCGCCCCCAAGGGGGTCAAGTTGTTAAAATCACCTTATTGCGAGTTAGCTTCCCCCTAACCTCGCCTTCGCTTCGCGATCACACCCCGCTAAATTGTATTAAGAAAATAATTGTTGTATTATATTGTTGATATAATTGTTGGTAAGATTTTTAAGGTATGAAAGTGCAATTTCCGGCCAGTCAGAGGTCTATATTCTCAACATTTTCGCACCTCATCCCCACCAGGTCGGAGCTGAAGTTGTGACCTCTCACGCACCCATGGTGTAGATCATGGGGGAAGGGGAACACGCCCCACATTTTGTAAGGGGAAGGGTTGGTCTTCATTTTTCGTGAGTCACGAAGATGCCTGAAAATTGTTGAATTAAACTGCATAAATGACCCAGGTTTTAGCGAAAGAGCTCTGTACAGCCAGAGTACATCTTATTTTATAGCAAGATATCGGTATCTCTGCCCACAAACATCTGAATTACAGTACCTATAATACACGGCTCGGGTGTACGTGCCTTTAATATTATTTGAGAAGTAAGAGGAGAAACGTGCAAAGTTAAGATTGGTTTTCGGCATTTGAAGTAGGTAAAGTAAAGTACATCAAAGACAATTTAGTTTTATTTTCTATGGTACATCAAAGCGATTAATTAGATCGATGTGATAAATTTTATTATATAAAGAGTGTCATATCCGGCAATCTAGAGGTACAAATTTCACCACCTCAGCCCCAACTTTGGTGGGGCTGAGATGGGTGTGGACTCACGGTTGTGAAGTAGGCCTGTAAAGTAAATACATCAAAGACAATAATTTTATGTTATATTTTCTATGGTACCGTACATCACACATATTAATTAGATCTCTGTGGTTGCTGAAGACAGTTGATAAAGATCATGAGAATTTGTTGGCGCTTTATTTTTACCAATTATAATGGTGATGTGATGATGATGAATTTTACTATTAAGAAATTTCAAGCTAGAGGTACCGGTAGTATTTCGTCAAATTTTCTCACCATGCTGGGAGTAGTATCGTGGTTTTGAGGTAGGTCAAGTAAATTATATACATCAAATATTTTTTTTTTTAAAGTTTTATTTTCTATGGTACATAACTCATATTAATTGGATCTCTGTGGTTGCCGAAAATCCATGATTAAAAAAGATAGTGAAAATTTGCTGGTGCTTCATTTAGACTAAGTAATAATTGTGTGATGAGATAAGTTTTACTAAATGAAAGTGTAATTTCTGGTCATCTAAAGGTACTACTTCCTCAAATTTTCTCACCTCAACCATAGTTTTGAAATGGGTAGAGTCAATTTAAGTGTTGGGTGATCAATACAAATTTTACAAATTGGAATTATAATATACAAATAATAACCGGAGTATATTCTTAAGTCTAAAAGTGAAATATCGGGTCTTAGGGATGCAATTCTTAAAAAATCTTCTGGTCAGCGCTCCACATTATTTCTCTTATTCTCGTTTAAAAATTAAGAATGTTTTATCTGTATTTGCTTTTTCTGTGTATAATTTAAATTTTAATAACATTGATAAATGCAGTGAAAAATTAAAGATTCAAGATTCAAGATTTCATTTATTGTCCAAAAATGGAAATACTAGGCGGCAAATATTTCATTGCAAGGTTACAAAATATAAAACATATACAAATACATATAACATACAGAATCCGAAACACCACGTGGTTGAAAGTACTGTACCGCGTTACGGTACATGTATGTGTTAATTTGCCGCAAGTCTATTTTTTAAGCAAATTTCGGAGAGCGTCACCAGCGTCGGTTTATGTCGAAAAACTTGTTGTTTAATAACTGCAAGAGGTCCGACTGTCATATTTCGTTGGAACGCAATCCTATTCCAAGAAGTACTGCCACGAAGGGGCGGCCCGCTTTGTGTGAAAATAAAAGTTGATTACATATAGGCCTAATTATATTTCTTAATGATACTGACATTTACTTTCATGCAGTTTTTCAGCCTTAATGTTTAAAATGTTCTTATGTTAGCGAATTCATGGGCCCCAACACGTTTTCTCCCCCGGGCCCCACGACTCGTCGTGTTACGCCACTGATCCTTTCTCTATAGGGTTTGTGAACAAGTTGGAATTTAAGTTTATACGTATCAGAGAAACGGAAATTATAAGTTTCCATGAAGAGTCTGGGGTGGAGGGTCTTTCATGAGTGTTATTATTCGTTATAGAAGAAATGCAATCTGATATTTTACTTTGTTTAACCACATCTTCATCTAAAATGCCTTTACTTGTGGACATATTCCTCTTTATAAAGCCTACGATAGTCTTCAACATAATAGTCATCACATTGCTAATCGTCGTCATTATCATCATTATCATCAAATTATACAATATTCAATGCACAAAATACAAAAATATTAAGGCAACTGTAGAATTTGTCGTAAAAACTAATTTCGTCGATTTTTCCACACAAATGCACGTGTTTACGTACATTTAAGCT